GATGGGGCTCACTCCTTACTGGCTCGGTCCAAAGCCAAAGCCAAACTCACTGCCGTCCAGTTGATTCTGATTTATAGTGACCCTATAGAACAGAGTAACTTTCTATGGAAGTAGGAAGCCCCATCTTCTCCCAAAGAGAGGCTCGCTGTTTTGAACTGCTGGCCTTGCCTTTACCAGCCCAATGAGTAAACACTATATCACCGTGGCTCAGTAGAACCAACTATATATTGCTTCCTAACTCCAGTTATGCTACAAACCAGGGCTCATACGGAGAACCAGATGGTAAGCATTTAGCAACACACCATTAGGGGATCAATGAGGTGATCTGAGGAAACTGCAAGGAGAGGAGCCAACCTCAGGATCATAGGGGTGGGGGGTACACATAAGGGGATGGAGGAGTCCACTGGTGGAGGAAGCAGAAACTCCAATGCAGGAATTCAAGGGAAACCAAGCAAGAGAAGACAGTGTTTGAATATGAGAATGGAATGACATAAATCCCAACCGGTCAAAGCAGACATCAACAAAACCAAACAATGACAACAAAACATGAGAAGTATATCCAATTGCACGGAGCCCCCATGCCCTGATTAGAAGGAGGGAAGGTTTGGTGGTGGTGTTTGGGTTCCTAAATTGTCCCCGTTGCTGTTTCCATTCTTTAAAAAAAAATGTTGGGAGCTTGGTTTGAGTTTCTGGGTAATTTGCAAAACCACAAAATTCACCTACAAAAATATGTCAGCATGACCTATAATGCACCAGTTCCGGAAATGACAATCACACGAGTTTAGATCTTTGGTGTCTGGGTTATTCATGGAATCGCAACATTTCGGGAGTGCAGAGGCCTGGAAGGGGCACACCCACTTATCTTTGGCAGAAGTAATTGAGGCCCAGAGGAGGTGTCTTGCAGAGATGACAGCACCAGCTGGCAGGGCTTGTCCTCATGTCACCTGCCTCATTTGATGGTATATTCACAGTTCCAATGGGTCTCAAAATTGACAAGGCATCAGGACCACCTGAAGGACTTCTTAAAGCACCCCACAAGCTCCATCCTCTAGTTTCTGAGTCAGTAAGGCTGGGACAGGGCACAGGTATTCCATCTTAGCAAGCTTCCAGGAGATGCTAATGCCACTCATTTAGGAACCACACTTTATGACCCACAGTCCTAGGAACTGACTGCGATCAGGGGTTTTGGAATCAGAAACCTGGTGATCCAATCAAACTGAGCTCCAGCTCTACTTCTGCCACCTGTTGTTTGACCCTTGGGAAAGTTACCGCAAACCCTCTGACCCCTGTTTCCAACACCTGAGCCCCCTGTGTCGTAAGAACTGAGCCCTGGCAACACAGGGGCTCAGCACTACACTGCTAACCTTGGAATTCACCCAGCAGCTCCATGGGGGAAAGATGTCTCGGTCTGCTCTGCACAGGTCATAGCCGAGAAAACCCTGTGAGACAGCGCTACTCTGTCTCACCAGGTCACTATTCAACGGCATTTAACAACAGACTAGACATAAAACATTTGTTTAACAAAGGTCCTGGTTAGTGCTTAATAAAGACTTGCTAGTTGGGCTGCTTACCCACATGGTCAGCAGTTCGAAACCACCAGATGCTCCTGGAGAAAAGAGGAGGCTTTCTACTCCTATTAAGAGGTACAGTCTCGGACACCCACAAGGGCAATTCTACTCTGTCCCATAGGGTTCCTGTGAATAGGAATCCACGTGATGACAGTGAGTTTGAGTTTCCAAAACTAAATCTTTACAGGACCAGACAGACAGCCTCATCTTCTTCCTGAGGAACAGCTGGTGGGTTTGAACTTCTGACCTGTTGGTTAGCAGCTCAATGCATAGCCCAATGACTAAAATTCAAAAGACAGATCAGCAACAGAATGGCAAAGATGTAGCAACAGAAGATTTATAGCTGCTTTACTCATAACCAAAGCCTAAATGTCCCCAAATAATAAAATGGATAAAGAAACCGCTATATCTATATGATAGAGTACTACTCAACAATTAAAAAAAAATCTCCCTAACATTTTGATAATCAAAAAAAAAAAAACCACACAAAAGATTATAGTCTGCATTATTTTTGTTTGCATTCTATGAAAGAAATCACAATAGTATTTGCCTCGGGAGTGGAGGGGAGAATTTAGGGGTAATGGACATGAGAGATATTTCTGGGGCAATGGAAATGGACCGTACTTGATTAGAATGATGAGATAGCACAGGTGTAGCCATTTGTCAAAACTCAACAAACTATATATACACTTAAGATCTGTGTGTGTGTGTGTGTGTGTGCAGGTAGGTAGTCTTCTGAAAAAGGACAGCCTTCTCCATTTAAAATGAATCCACTCTAACCATGCAGATTCGTTCAGCTTGTTTCCTTCACAATCCAACCCTGATTCTACAGCCATTTGCTATACTATTTTGGCTCATACATCTTTCCAGAAGAGCTGCCATGAAATAGAAACAGCAGAATCTTCTTGCACAAGAAGACCATGTCGCTTCTATGCAGACGGTCTCTGGGGCGACCCACGTTGCTGGCATGGCTAACTCGAGGTGTGGGCAATACAGAAATAACATCTTTCTTTGCCACATACCAAGAATGAGCATAAGGCATAGGAACAATTGTGAAGCTGGCACGGGACTGTGCAGTGTTACCTTCTGTTGTGCAGAGGGTCGCTGTGGGTCAGAGGCGACTCAATGCCACTTAACAACAACAAGAATGAGCCTATCTGATCTGATTAAGACACAGTAACGAAGTCACAGCAAAGTGTCACATCATTTAAACCATATTCTCCACATGAACGAGGGGACAGAAGACTGGCGAAGTGGTTTCCAATGCTGTCGTCACTGGAAATGGAGACATAGGAAGAGCTAACTGTTGCCTGTGTCATTATCATCTGTAGCAGCTTCCATGTGTGAGTGAATTCCAGGTCATTTGGAAGGGCTTCCCGGACAACATTTTTATTCTACTTCATGACAAAGACACTTACACACACCCAAACCTGCTGCGAACATTGTTCTGGGCACAGAATAGTCCCGAGTCACTATAGTTCCCCTTGGACTGAGTCCCAAACCCACCTGATTATCTCACCAGCCCTGCCTAATGAGGCCATCCCGGGTGATGTCTCCTGGCTCTTTGATCACTAGTGAAAGGAGGAAGCCTAGCTTCGTGCAATATTTTGTACACTGGAAACAAGTTCCCATGGTTCCACTGGACACCACTAGATGGTCAGACACCCCTGCCTGTCCCTCTGCTACCCCTTTCTTCAAAATGCCCCTAAACCAAGACCAGTGGCTGTTGTTTTCTCAACAATTCTATCAAGAATTGATTATAATAACCCAGGTCCCTGGTGACAAGTACTAACCTACCCAAATCCAATTCAAACACATTAACAATTCTGTTTTATTGATCATTTCGCATGTGTCAGGCACTGGCCTGGGGCACACTATTTCCCTGCAGTGAGCTTACGAGCTGGGAGAGGAGGGAAGGGACCCAATTCAGAGCTCTAACTGAATCTGAAAACCACAAGGTATACTATACAGTAAGGGAGCCCAGAGGAGGGATTTGTTCGGCCTGGCAGGGAGCAGAGAGGCTTCCTGGGGAAGGTATTCACATTGAGTTGAGGACAAATGATCAAAGCTTTCCAAAGCTACTGGAAGGTGGAGCTCCTGCTCTGGTCTCCCTTTCCCTTGCATCTGGAACACACCTGCTTCCAAAAGAAGCCTGACCGGTCCTTCTTTCCTCTGACACATTCCTCCAGCTGCTATCCACTGGCAGATGCATGTTGGGGACTCTTCACCATGCTCAACAATGCCACCTCCTTTAGCACTGGCAAGGAGAGAGCTGCATCATGGGCTTTGGTCTCACAGGGACGTCTTTAAGAGACTCCAGCCGTCTCTCGGGCTGATGTTGAGACTTCCACTTGCCTGCATCAAAGCAACAAGCAAGTCCCACCAACATCCCTCCAATCAAAAGCGTCTTCCACCCTTTGATAAATGGACTCCTTTTCTACTGCCAACTGAAAGAACAATCTGGCCCATTCCCTGAAGCAAATCAGCCTCTCCAGTCCCTGAGAGTCGTGGCCCCATCTCCTTCCCACTCCTCGGTGCTCAAGTTCGGCAGTTCAAGTCAGGCTGTTGGGAGCCATAGGACCTTTGGCGAGTGGCTTAACCAATCAGTCCCGGTTTCCTTTATCTGTCAAATGGGGTTTATAAGAGCAACTCACTTAAAACTGTACATCAGAATGAAATCTTACAAATATAGCAGTGCCCAGAGCCCTTCGCCTTATAAACATCAATGAATAGCAGCTATCATGATCATGATCATGACGACATCGTACAACTAGGCTAAATTTGAGCGAAGAATGAAATTCCGACGCTCCCACCCCTCCCGGCAAGCACAGGGCCACCCGGCGGAGACACATGCGTCATCGGCTGTGGGGTGAATGCAGGATCTTCAAGCGGCTGACATAGGAACCGCCAGGCGGTCATACCGGAGGCAGCTCCCAGGAGGTGGGGGGTGGGGGGGGTGAAGTTAAATTTCTGGTAGAGGCTTCTCTCCCGCACACCCACTTTCCAGACGGGAAATAAACAAGTGGCGGAAGAACATCAGCAGTGGCGCCCCAGTCAACCCTTCCCCGAGGAGCTGGACAAGTGTCCACCTTTGTCCCTGCCTCAGTACCCCAACTCTCCTCGGGGCACAGGCCAGATGGAGCTGCACTAAGCGGCCGAGAGAGCAGGCTGGCAAACGAGGCTCAGGATAAGTGACCCCCAGGTCCCCGCGCACACCCGCCCAGACCCCTCTTCCAAACGCAGGTGGACAAACCACCTTCAATCTCGCAACAACTTCGGGGGGCAGGTGGGAGTCCCGCGCCCGGGCGCACAGTCCCAACTTCCCCTCTAGGCTGCACCGCCACCAAGAAAGCGGGAAATCCAGGTTCGAGGGACACCCCGCAGGCCTCGCGGTTTGCTGGGGGCGCCCCCCAGAGGCGCGCCTCGGCTTACCTTGTCTGACGGCTTTGAAGGTGACGGCCTCCTTGCAGCTGTCGATGACTCCTAGCACGTCATAGCGGGGCAGGCCGGCCACTCGGACCCCCTGCACCTCCAGAAGCAGCTCCCCTTCGCCCAGCCTCGGGCCCTCGCCGCCGCCGCCGCCGCCTCCGGGAAGCCCAGCCGCCTCCGCTCCGACGTACGGAAACTCTCCGTTCTCCGCTCCCCCCAGCACCGTCACCCCCAGGTCGCCCTGGGGACCCCGCTTCACGGTGCATTCGTGAACCCTACTGGTCCAGTGATTCTTCTTCTGGATCACTTTCGACATGATGAGGTGTTCCCTTCCTCCAGAAAAGAAGATGCAAGGCGAGACAGGTGCCCCCCCCAGCACAAGCCCCCGAGCCTCCGCCGGTTCATAGGCGAGCCATCGCCTCCCGGATAGCGCGACGGGAGAGAAAGTTGGCAGCCTCGCTCCCCTGCACACACTCGCGCACTCAAGCCATCATAAAACAAACTTTCCGGGCTTCCCCCCGAGCCCTGCACGGGCGCCCGCGAGCTTTGTTTGCATTCCGGAGCCTCCCGGTGCACGTTCCGGCGTCCGACCGCGCTCGCCCGGACCAAAGTCCACTCCACGGCGCTCGGGGGATTTTTTTCCTTCCTTCCTTCCTTCCTTTCTTGCCTTTTAGAAATACGGAGTCTCCTCTTTGCCTCCCGCCCTGGCGCTCGCGTTTCCTCGCCGGCGGGCTGGTCCTGAGGGTGAGCGAAACCCCTGCTGGCCCAGTTGCTGGGAGCCCTGGAGACGCGGTTGCGGAGGGTGGGGGGGCGGGGAGCAGCGGGAAAGAGGAAAGTGCCCGCGGCCCCTTTAAGCAGATACAAAGACTCAGCTTGTTTTGTTACAGTTCATTCTATTCCGCGCCGCGGAGCGCAGCGGCCGGCGAGAGGAGACGCGCGCGCATGCGCCCGGAGGCCGCCGGCCGTCCAGCCCGCCCCACCCCTCCCTCCCTGAGAGATTCCAACGTGCTTCCCGACGGGTCCTAAAGCCGACCTCATGTAGACCGTGACCAACTACCCCCTTTCTCTGCACACACCCCTCTCACACGCCTTTGCTTTCGGAGGGGCTTTGACCCTACAGATCCGTTTAGGGGTGGGCGGTGGGGGCGCACGTGCTTCACTGCAACTGTGTGCACATTTTAAAACAATCTGACTTCGGGATTTTAAAACCATTTCAAACAGGTGGGGGTTGGGAACACACACACACACACACACACACACACACACACATCCTGGCGCTGGCCCTCACGCTGGCCCTAAGCCACCTACCGCCCTCAGCCAGAGGCAGGCCAGGTTCTCCGGCTCCTAGCCTCCTGGGTCCGTCCGCGTCCTCCGCCCCCCACCCCCCCGCCCTAGCTCCAGGCCACATTTTTCTGTAAACCCCAGAGACCCACCGGGAGGCGCAACCCCGGCGCCTCGCCCACCCAGCGCCAGGGTGGCGGGTTCTGCTGGGAGGGTGGGCTGGTGGCTTTGCAACCTCTGGGGAGTGGAACGGCAGAGGTCCCAAGGCCCCCGGATCCCTTTGAGCCTCACACGCCCATATAGGGACACTCGCGCCCTTCAAGTTTGGGGTTAACTAGTTAGGACACAGGGAAATGTATAAGGGCTTCCAAAAGTTCATGGGAAAGCAGAATTAAAAGATAGTGGGATTTTTCCACGAACTTTTGGAAGTCCCCTCTACAGGCGAGGGAGAGCCGCTAAACGGATAGCAGGTCCGGCATTCTTCCATTAAATGAGGCATAGTTTCTAAACAGCCTTTCCAGAAAAAGACTTCTGGAATCTGTGTGCCCTGGGTTGAAGTTCCTGGCGGAAGTCTAGGGACCCGCCCCAAGGCCAGGAGATTAAAATCGCCACCAGGTTGGAGAAGGACAGGGCGTACCCTCCGGGGCGTAGGCGCAGCCGCACCTCTCGGAATGCAGAATTTGCAGCCCCTGGGTCTGGGACACCTCCTGCACCGCCCTGGGGCGTGGTGGCAGTGCTCCTGTCTGGCCGGGAGTGAGCTCAGGGGTCACACACCGAAAACAACAACCTCACAGGAAATATGCCCTATCCCACGCTACAATTGGCCTGGTCGGTAAAGAATCTCCCAAGCAGTTTCTTTTTCTTAATATTAATTTATAACCTGCTTGTTCATCTTCAAGGAGCCCTGGTGCTTAGCTTCGGGCTGCTAACTGTAAGATATGCAGTTCAAATCCACCAGCAAGGAGAAAGACTGGGCTTTCTAGTTACAGTCTTGGAAACTCACAGGGACAATTCTACCTTGTCTTATCTATAAGGTCGCTATAGACTGGCTGGCAGTGGGTTGGGTTTGGATTTGCTCATGTGTAGTCACAGGAGAGATTCCAAATGCTAGATAAGAGAGCTGCATGACAGGAATCACAAAAGGTCTTAAGCCTTAGGGGTCGTGTTGAAAGTTGGGCTCTGGTGGTTAGGTTTTCACTGAACATCTGTGTGACCAGACAAGTACTGTGCCCTCTCAGAGGGAAGCTAACAGCAAGGTGTGCGGTTCAAACGCACTAGCAGCACCATGGGAGAAAAATGAGGCTTTTTACCTCCGTTAAGAGTTGCAGGTTGGAAACCCACAGAGGTAGTTCTACCTTGTCCTACAGGGTTGTCATGAATCAGAATTCGCTCTATGGCAGTGAGTTTAGGTTTGTGTTCTTTGGCTGTTGTGTTTTTGTTTTGGTGGGGGCTTGTCCACACTTATAAAGATTTACTGCCTCAAAACCCTACTTGGTCAATTTGAGGGAGGATCAGCTGATGGCAGTTGTCGGTTTGGAAAAACAAGTAAAACACTAGTTTTTACACAGAGAATGTGTTCAGATTTTAGGCCAAGCAACCCAGTGTTGTTTTTATTATTTTAAAAACTAATTTATTTTTTTAACCCCGTGTTGTCTTAATAGGCAACCTACAGCAATCATTTTACACACCAGTTGACTTCCATTTCCTTCTTTAATGTCCACAGGATTTAATGGTAAGTCTTGGTCTTGGTGATTGTCGCCCATCTAACCGTGGAGTTTGTAAAGCAGCCCCTCTCTGGGCAGGATTCCTTCCTGCTCTGCAAGCTCCTTTCTCCAATGGAGGAGAAACGACTGTTTCTGTGAGGCTTCTGGGATGGTTTACCACCGTTCTTGATTCTCAATGCTGAAAGAATTCACGTGGCAGAAGCACTTTTGTAAATCCAAGTAACTTTTATGAGGGAAAGGGAAGTTTCCGGGTAGTACAGTCTCAGATAGTACATGCTATCTCTGGAAAGTGTACAAGGCCGCCTGGCAGGCCATGGGAGAGGTCACAACTGAAAATGGCCACTTCAGGGGAACTGGAAAAACCACCTGGGAAATGGCTGTTAAGAGGAGTTCACAGAACTGAAAAGAGGAGTCCCGGAACCAAAAAAGAAGAGCGAGTTTGAACCCTGAGAGTGCATGTGCACACTCCACATCCGGGAGAGACTCCACCCTCCCACCTGCAAGGGAGCACCTGTCTGTGCTATTTAGCAACTCCTATCCCCACTTGGGGTGGGGAGCGTGGTTGAGGGTATTGGCATATCCTAGTGGCTAAGTTCAGGCGCACCTGTGACATGATGTCACTGGTGCCTAGTGTGTGTATGCCCAGGCTAACCTTCACCTTTGTCTAGGTGACCTTGGTCTAAACATGTGTACCTTTGGATTGTCCCCATAGGTGTCTACTGTGTGCCTGATTTCTTTCCAACCCCTTTGTTGGGACATGACCAGCTAAATTTTGTTTAACATAGGCATTCTATCCCTATTCTTCCTACCTATCATTTCCACCCTGGAAATATCCCTCTTCAGAGCAGCTGATATTACCTAGGAAGTGTATATCCCTGCACATATCAGACAGGAAGGCCACTCACTCAAACATGCTATGCCAGGACACCACAGTAGTGGTACACATCCCACCCACCATCTACCAAGCCTGGGCTGTTTGAATGTCTCACCCACTATAATGGCACCTATTGGGCATAAGAGCTGTGAATTCAGAGGGGTCTCAAGGCCCCCCACTAGGAAAAGATGGGTTCAACTTGCTGCTTGAGGGTCCCCCAAGCCCAGGCAGGCAATCTGCACCTTCCTGCCACCATGGCCCACTGGCAACAGTGCTACCCACAGCAATACCAACCAGTGCCTGGGCTGTGCCAGCCCCATGCACAGCACCAGCACTCTTCACCCATATCCTGCCCAGTGGACCTGGGCAGGGTCAGCTACAGGGAACTTCACTGCTCTCAACCTGGCCAACATTGCCCTAATGTAAGGTGAGCAGACATCCCACTTTGGGCGGGACAGTCCCGATTTTTAACAATTTGTCCCGCGTCCCGTGGCATTTTTAAAAAGTCCTGATTTTTGGAAAGAATGCACGACAAGCTAGGGAACGGCAGAAGAGTGGGAAGGGAATATATGGCATTCGGCTGCCATGTGGCTATTTCGCCAGGATATGAGTTTTATATTATTTTTGTTAATTTTATAATGTTAAACTTTAATAACAAATAATTGTTGAGAACTGCTTATCAAAGTTCGCATTGTTGATCAGTTATTAGAACTTGACCACCATTGTTTGGACTTAATGAACAATATATAATACATAAAGAACAATACATAAATACATAAATTTTCTTGAATTTAGCAGACAGTACTGGAATGATGTGCAAAAACCATTCGATCATATTACTCAAAATTTCCTATATAGTAATATTTCCAAAAATGATCTTTTTAATGAGGTATTGTTATTAAAAATATATATTGATGAGGAAAAGGTTAGATCTTGGGCATCAGCGAAAATCACAATAGAGAACAAATGGTTAGAAATATTTCATCATTTTGAAACAAACCATGTTCCATACAATAATGCACTAAAAATTGTGGAATACGCGCTGTCCTTACCAGGAACTAATGCTGCGACTAAACGCGTTTTTTTCTATGGTAAATAAAGTGTGGACATCAGAAAATCCACAATTAAGTGTTCAGACTTTGAAAACCGTTTTATGTGTGGAAATATAATTTAACAAATTCTTGTGAAAATTTTCATGACCTTTTAAACAATGACAGCAATCTACTAAAAAAATTCACTCAATGAGAAATATGCCAAAGAATAAAATAATTTTTAAATATATTATATTTGTAAATTATACTTATGTTGAAATTAAAAATATATATTAGAATACTATTTTTGCATTCTATGAAAATTTTTGTTGCTCTATATAGACCAAATTTTTAATCAAGAACCACCCCACCCCCACCCCCCAGTCAATGGTGTCCCGCTTTACCAATGTTAAAATCTGGTCACCTTACCCTAAAGCAAGCATACCCCATCAATTGTTTATTTTCTGATTCCCTAGTTACTACCAAACTGGGTCCATGACTTTTTGACCATGACTTATACCTTTATTATACAAATATGACCAAAAGTAACATTTCCAGACTATTATATGAGGTTGAGCAAAGCCAAAATTCACTTCCAGTGATGCTAGGAGACATATACAGTGTAGGCAGAGCATGCATGACATGCCAGAACTTTAGCATAATGTTGCCATTTCTGCCCATTATAGTAACCAAATGCCCTGAACCCAATAGAACAGAGTAGAACTGCCCTGGTGTGGTTCTGAGAGTGTAACTCTTCTCGGGAATCGACAGCCTCATTTTCTCCCTAAATGCTGATGTTGTAGTATGCCACCAGGGTTCCTCTGAGTGTTATAC